AAATTACTTTATTAGTGAAAATATAACTATTAAATTGATACATAATTAATTTTAAAATTATTAGTACTAATTTTAGATTAGTTTAAAAAATGTTATATTACAATACTTTAACAGTAAAACTACTTGAATTCATATTATTCTTTTATTTTTTAAATTTAGTACTAAAAAAGAAACAGTAAATATTTTAACTAAAAATAAGTTTTTTAATTGGAGTTTAATGTTGTTTCAATTTTAACTACTAGAATTAAAACAATTTAATTAGTTAGGTTACAGATTAATATTACTTTTATTTCTTAAATAGTTTAAAATGAAAAATTTAGAGGTGCTAGAATTAAAATATTTCAAATTAAAAATAATAAATAGAGCAAACAAGCACATCTAGATGTGTATAAGAGACAGCCTACCTTGTTTAAATAGTTTAGCCGCTAGTGCGTTTGCAAAATTGAAAGAAAAATCTGATAATAAACAAAAAACAACAATTTGTTTACTTCGAACTAGTTTTGCTGTGTTTTTTGTTTATTTTATTTTTATGCAGAATATAAATTAATGTATCTGGTAACACTTGTTATTTTTTAATATAAATTTCTATAGAGCAGACACAGCCTGAGCACAGTTATAACCAGTTTTCTGTTTTTTTATATACTATAATAAACACCATTTGAATAATTTTTTTTTCATAATACTCAGACGATAGCTCTGAAAATCAGTTCAAATTAATTTTTGTCTCTGCGTTTAATCAACTATTTCTTTCAATAAAATATTGTTTTTGTACTTTTTAGTAAGTTTTATATAATTTATATAATTTTATAATTCATTAATATACACATCTAGATGTGTATAAGAGACAGAAATATACATATATTTTTTATTATTATTTTTAATGTAAAAATTATTATTTTTTGCAATTTTGGCGAGTTTAGAAATATATTACAAGTATATATATATTTTTTCTTTTTAATTTAATGCAATAATGTTTAAATTCTTTATTTTGCAGTGATAGCGATTCGGATTCCGACGATGAATTTGAACATAAACGTGCGAGCGTACGCGCCAAGTACAGTGCGAGGGTAAGCATTCTTTGATAAAAATAAATATAACTATTTTATTACAATAAGAAAAAAATGTTTATCTGACATTAAACTTTTTTATATATGTATATGTTTATAAATAGTATAAAGGCTGTCTCTTATACACATCTCGGTCAAAATAAAGATTGTTTTTATTTGTGAAAGTCACTAATTTTTTTTTTTAATATTTTTTATTTTTTTTAGTTTAGTTTATTTTTTTTACTTTTTGTCTTTGCCCTATCCCACCTATGCAAATAAGCGTATTTCGGATGCTTTCCGAATGCTTAAAAAGTACAAAACACATGCCTATTTCTAATGAATTTAATTAGACGCTAAATTAACAAAAAAGCAGACTGAAACTGTAATGTTTCGCCGTTTAAGCGTGGCTTGTCAACGCCAATAAAATGTCGGCTTTTTAACTAGTTTTTAAGCAACTAATTTGCATGCGCTGAACGAGTATTGACTTTCTTGAAGAGAACGAGAATAAATTTCCATAAAACAAAATTTAAGAATCATAAAGTATTATAAAAAATTAATTAATAAATTGAGAATTAATAAAAATCAAATTAATACAAAAAATTAATAAAATCATTGGAAAAAATTT